CACAGACAGACAGACTCACGATTGTGGGAGTCGGGCTCCGTGGGTTCGGAGCTGTAGTAACTCTCGTGACTGGACGACTGGTAGGCATTCTGGAACAAAAAAACATGGAGAAAAAGATCAGTCAAAGACGTACATCACACTCTGGAACAGTACCAATTCACATCAGTCGAAAACGTGAATTGAGATTTTAGTTTGAGCAGCAAATTTCTCTCCCCGCATAAATCCAACTAAATTTGACGGACGCCCCGGTTATGGGAATGTTTATATTTTTATGCCTTCGTCAATTTTTTTTAAAAAAGTGGAATTAAATTTTAAGTCGTCTGGAGGACTTTAAAGGAACCTTCGGCAGAATATCTGGTGTAGCTAGATATCAGCTCAATAACTAAGTTACTTACAGGCTGGTGAATGCTCGTGGGGCTTTTATTTAAAGAGGACTCCTGCTCAAGTCTAAGTGACAGTTTTAAGGGATATTGCCCATCACTTCATCTAGAGATCAGATGGTAAACAAGTTCCCTTGACGTTGGGTAATCGGTGGTCCATGTATTTCAAAGAGGACATGAAAACTTCGCTGTTGTCAACTCCATGCTCGTCGTCCCAAGGTAGGCGGTACAACGGGGTATGACTGTATATTCCACTTTCTAGACTTTCTAGTTATAATAATAATAGTAATAATAGAATTTATAACTCGACAGAATCCACAAAAAGTGCTCGGTAGCGTTTACAAAACACACACACACACACACAAAATAAGTACCACTACGACGTGCATAAATTTCAACAAACAAACAAACAAAATTCAAGCATTATAAATATACTTTTCTGAAAAACATTGTCTTCAACTTTGTTTTAAATTGATTAATCGAAAGAGACATTTTAACATCTAAATCCAAATTGTTCCAAAGTTTTGGGGCACAGATGGATAAGGCCCTTTCACCCAACATTGTTCTGGACCTAGGCATGCAGAGCTGATAGTCATTCGAAGTTCTTAAATTACAAGATGGTGCGTACATTCCCATAAGTTCTGAAAGGTAATTCGGTGAGCACTGATGTACATTTTGTCAGCTTTACTTCTCGTTTCATATTGGATTTTAATGAGAGTAATATATATAATTAAAAATTTTTTAATGTATACCTGCATGTATTTTTACGGTCCTGTACAGCCAAGGAAAATTTCACTCTGGGATAATAAAGTACTATCTTATCTTATCTTATCTTATCTCTTATGTAACGATCTATAAACCATGCACAACATTTCTAATTCAGCGCGTTCTCTCACTGGCAACCAATGGAGGGTTTTCAAAATATCACGGGCATGGTCTGAAATTTTTCTTAAAGTTACAAGTCTTGCTTGCCCTGTTCTGAATCTTTTGAAGTCTGAACTGTCTGGCAAGAGTAGAATCATTTTCCTGGTCAACAAAAGCAAATGAGTACAACGGCCTATCCATAGGTGGGGGGGTCTCTGTTTCTCTCTATTCTACTATCTCCCCGCCCTCTCCCTCTAACCCCCCCCCCCCTCACCTTTTCCCTGTTCAAATGGTCCAGGTTGTAGGTTGTAAATGCCCCATATTTGACTGTAGTCACTGATCTATATCTTTCTCCCCCCCCACCCCCCACTCCACTTTTCCCACCCCCCACCTCTGTCTCTCTCTCTCTCTCTAACACTCTTTCTCTCTCTCTCTCTCTCTCTCTCTCTTACCTTCTCCCTGTTGACCTGATCCAGGTTGTAAATGCCCACCAGTAGACTGTAGTCCATGATCTTGAAGCTCTCCAAGACCTGCAGGTAGGTGTGTGTGTGTGTGTGTGTGTGTGTGTGTGTGGGAGGGGTGTGTGTGTGGGAGGGGTGTGTGGGTGTGTATGTGTAGGGGGGGGGAGAAGAGGAAGATAAACACAAAAAGAACATGAAATTCCCTATACCCATCAATCCATAACAAAAAAAATTTAATAACACATTAAAAATTATATATTTATACACATATTGCTTATCTAGTCATTCATCCATATATATTCATCCATATATCAATCCATACATCAATCCATATACCCACCCATCCACTCATCATGTATTAAGCATACCCACCGGACAGTCTCGCTGCAAGGTCTCGATGAGCACCCCCTAGGTCTCTTTCTCCAGGTGCAGGCTGCCCGGGTGGTTCATCCATCCACCCACCCACCCATCCATCCATCCATCTATATATATCCACCCATATATCCACTCACCAACACTTATACCTATACTGTATGTGAGGCGTGGAAAGCGTAAGAAGGGAAGACCAAAGATGACAAGGAGGCGAGCGGTACAAGCGGAAATTGAAAAAGCGGGGACATCATGGAAACAGATAGAAAAGGATGCTCAGGACAGGCTTCGCTGGAGTAATGTTGTTGATGTCCTGTGCTCCACTAGGAGTTAAAAAGGGCAAGAGAGAGAGAGTATGTGAGGCGTGCTGACAAGATGAGTTACTTCTCGCAGTCCACAAATGGAAGATATTGGCCCAAAATCGACACTAGTGTCAAATTTATAGATTTTCAATTCATGACAAAATCTTTAAGTACAACATGTCTTTCACCATTTCATACTGAAAAATGGAAAAAATTTCACCTATTATAAAGCGCGACGTATCTATCGGCTGGAATCCGAGAAGTAACCCCATTTTGTCAGCACACTTCCCACATTTATCCATGTTTTACCCATCCGACAGTCTCAGTCTCGCTGCAAGGTCTTTACGAGCCCCTCGTTGGTCTTCCTCTCTAGGTGCAAGCCGTTGGGGTGGTTCATCCATCGACACATACATTAATCCATATATCCACCCATCCATGGATATCTATCCATGTTTTACCCACCCGACAGTCTCACTGCAATGTCTTTACAAGCCCCTCGTAAGTCTTCTTCTCTAGGTGCAAGCCGTTGGGGTGGTTCATCCGTCCACACATACATTAATCCATATATCCACCCATCCATATATCCATTCACCCTTCAATCCATATATCCATCCACCCTTCAATCCATATATCCATCCACCCTTCAATCCATAACCCCAAAAAAAAAAAAATTTTATACACATTAAAAATTATATATTTATACACATATTGCTTATCTAATTATTCATCCATATATCCTCCATCCACGGATATTTATCCATGTTTTACCCACCCGACAGTCTCACTGCAAGGTCTTTACGAGCCCCTCGTAGGTCTTCTTCTCTAGGTGCAAGCCGTCCGGGTGGTTCATCCATCCACACATACATTAATCCATACATCCACCAATCCATCCCCCCTTCAATCCATGTATCCATCCATCCATAAATCCATAACCCCCCCCCCAAAAAAAATTATTTTATACACATTAAAAATTATATATATTTATACACATATTGCTAATCTAATTATTCATCCATATATCCGCCATCCACGGATATTTATCCATGTTTTACCCACCCGACAGTCTCGCTGTAAAGTCTTGATGAGCGCCTCGTAGGTCTCCTTCTCCAGGTGCAGGCCGTCCGGGTGGTTCTCCATGAAGTCCAGGTCCTTGAGGGTCGGGGAGCCCTTGGAGCGCTCGTGCTTGGAGGCCTTGCGCTTGTACGTGCTGCCCTTCATGTCGTACTTCTCGTGCAGACGCACCGTGGACGGCAGCAGGTTGTTCATCACCGTGAACCGAATGTTTTTGCCGCCGCACTGATGGGGGTGGGTGGGGGTGTGGGGGGATATAAGACAGATGATGATATGTGGTATTGTGGCACTGGCCCGATCAGTCTCGCTGCAATGTCTTCTGTTTAGTTTTAGTAAAGGTTTTACGTCGCTCGCAACTGCATAAGGTCATATGAGTGCCAGAAGATTAGAGGTGGAGAGATCAGGACAATAGATGTCTGTTTAAGTTAGAGTTTTCCTGCACTTGCAACACAATAAGGTCATGAACAAATGATGGAGATTCCAGGTGTCACAAGAGAGTAACGGATACGAAAAAGAAGGAGCATATTGCTGCCCTTCATGTTGTACTTCTCGTGCAGACGCACCGTGGACGGCAGCAGGTTGTTCATCACCGTGAACCGAATGCTTTTGCCGCCGCACTGATTGGTGGGAGATATAAGACAGATGATATGTGGTATTGTGGCACCAGCATGATCGGTCTCGCTGCAATGTCTTCTGTTTAGTTTTAGTAAAGGTTTTACGGTGCTCGCAACTGCATAAGGTCATATGAGCGCCAGATAAGACAGTTGAGGGGTGGTGGTGGTGGTTTGGGGGGGGGGGGGAGCAGACATCCGGACAAGCAATGTTCGTTTGTAGGGTTTTTTTTTGTGTAGAATTTTCGCTTTTAGTTTAAGTAAGAGTTTTTCAGTACTTGCAACACAATTGAGACATATATATGCCAAAGTTTAGATATTACAATAATGATGATGATAATATTAATAATAACGCTAATTATAATAATAATGATAATAATAATAATGAAGTTCAGATATGAAGGTTCGCATTTCGTTGGGGGGGGTGGAGCCCCTTTGTTTTTAGTTTTAATAAGACTTTTACCACACTTGCAACAAAATTAGGTCATATAAGTGCCGGACATTAGAGGTGTTACAAGAGAGTAACAGATACAAAAAAGGAGAAGAAAGAGATCAAGACGACAGACGTTTGACAAGAAAGAAGAAGCAAACCACACCGGAGCACCCGCCGACCACCCACATCCAACAGACGGGATGAGCAGATACACACCTGATAGCAGTAGAGGTTTTACGGCGCTCGCAAACTACATAAGGTCATATGAGCGCCAGGAGATTAGAGGTGTTACAAGAGAGTAACACATACAAATAAGAAGAAGGGCAGAAAAGGACAACAGATGTTTGATAAGAAAGAAGAAGCAAACCACACCAGAGCACCCGCCAACCGCCCACTCCAACAGATAGGATGAGCAGATACATACCTGATAGCAGTAGAGGCCGTAAAACTTGGGTAGGAGTGTCCTTTTGTTTTGGCTTATGTTCTGAGGAGGTAAAAAAAAATTATTATTTTTAAACAAAAATTGAAGACAGAAAGTCAAAACACATCTTTCATTTTTCATAAGAGTTTTACTGCACTTGCAAAACAATAAGTTCATTACAAGTGCCGAAGATTAGAGGTGTTACAAGAGAGCAACAAACAAAAAAATAGAAGGAGAAGAGATAATGACGATAGATGTTTGATAGGAAAGAAGGAGCAAACCCCACCACCAGAGCACCCGCCAACCACCCACACATCTTTCACATTGCAGACAATCAATGTGAAATAAGGCAATATATACATTTTATTTACATTACATCTCTCTCTCTCTGTCTCCCTTTCTGTCTCTGTCTCTCTCTCCCTCTCTCTCTCCCTCTCTCACACACACACACACACACACACACACACATTAACACGACCAACAAAAAGAACCACTGACCAAAACATATCCCTGCAATAGCTTCTGCAAGAAGTCTGCCTCCTTGTGCTGAACAGTCATGATGATAAACTCTCTCTCTCTCTCTCTCTCTCTCACACACACACACACACACGCACAGACACACACGCACAGACACACACACACACACACCACTGACCAAAAAATATTCCGGCAGCAGTTTCTGCAAAAAGTCTGCCTCCTTGTGCTGTAGTCTTGATGATAAACTCTCTCTCTCTCACACTCACACAGACACACACACGCACAGACATACACACGCACAGACATACACACACACACACACACACACCCTCACACACACACACCACTGACCAAAAAATACCCCGGCAGCAGTTTCTGCAAGAAGTCTGCCTCCTTGTGCTGTACAGTCTTGATGATACTCTCTCCCTCTCTCTCTCTCTCACACACACACACACACACACACACACACACACACACACACACACACACACACACACCACTGACCAAAAAATATCCCGGCAGCAGTTTCTGCAAGAAGTCTGCCTCCTTGTGCTGTACAGTCTTGATGATAAACTCGTCGTCTTGCGTCAGGTAGAAAATGCTGCCACTGGCTCCTGGGTTGGAGAGTTCCTTCAGAGGCTCGTCACACAGCGACAGCTGAGGAGGGGGGCGGGACAGGAAGTTAAACTCAGTAAAAGTTTTTGCGGCTCTCCCAACTACATACGGTCATATGAGAACAAGCGTGCGCAACTACAGACTGGTTCGTTTTTACATTATTTCATAGCTATCTGCCTTTCACACAACCAGCTTACGCCAAATACTCAGAATCTTCTGACCCGACAAGATTTCCAACGCCGATCTATTACTGAAATGTAGGCAAGAGGACATGACCACCATAATAAAAAGGAGAAGATGGAGATGGATTGGACATGTTCTGAGAAGAGAACCAGACTATTGTAAAGACTGCACTCCACTGGACACCCAAAGGACATCGCAAAAGGGGCAGACCCAAAGTGACCTGGAGACGCACAGTAGAGTCGGAAATGAAGTCCTGGAACCATTCGTGGGGGACGCTGACCAAGATGGCCCAAAACAGACAGAGCTGGACATCCTTTGTTGCTGCCTTAAACGCCAGATGGCGTAATGGGTAGTAAATCATAGCAATGGCTCGGTGTTTTTAATTTCAAAAGTCTGAATAGTTGAAGTCGTTTAGTTTTAGTGTTGGTCAGTGGTTCTTTTTGTGGGATGTGTGTATGTTTGTGTGTGTGTGCGTGTGTGTTTGTGTGTGTGTTTTAGTTCTAGTGTAACAGCATTTGCAGCACAATTAGATCGTATAAGATTAGAATTAGAAGCGTTACAAGAGAGTACCAAACACAAAAAGGGACGATAGAAAGAAGGAGCAGACCACAACAGAGAACCCGCCAGACCCTGCAGGTAAAAGTTTTACAGTGCTCGCAACTACATATGGTCATATACGAGTATAAGCGTGCGGGACTAAAAATTGGGGGTTTTTGCACGTTATTTCATAGCACAGCTTGGGTTGGGTTTTTTTCAACCTTTAAAAGTAGGAATAGTTGAAGTACTCGTGTAGTTTTAGTAAGAGTTTAACAGTGCTAGCAAACAGAATATAATGTCATATAATTTTACGTTTTTTAGTTTTAGTAGAGGTTTTACGGCGCTCGCAACTGCATAAGGTCATATGAGTGCCAAGGGGTGGATTTCAACAGAGAAGTCCTTACAGGGAATCAGGTTTACTCTGCTCACCTCTCTAGCTTCAACAACACAAGGTCTGCTTTAACTATTAAGGCACTCCGGAAATAGCGGGTCACAAGAGTGTGACAAACATACAAAAGAAGTAGAGGAAAAAATGACGATAGTAAGGATTAGGAAAGAAAAAGCAGCAGTTCCCTGTTGGAGTTCAGGCACAGTTATGAGCATGTCGTTGATGAATCAGCCCATTTACAATTCTACTGCGCTTAAATGAAAAATGTCCCCCCTTTGGGAAAGTCCTAAAGACACTTCAGTCAGTGGGCACTGGGGGGGGGATTGTAAGTTTAGTGCTGAAGATTAGAGATGTTACAAAAGAGTAACAAACACAAAAAAGGAGGAGAGATCAGGACAATAGAAATTGGATAGGAAAGAAGGAGTATACCACACCAGAGCA